TATTTAAAACCTAAGTTTTTTTTTCGAATACAATTTATAGTCACTGTGTAAATTTTGTATGGGTTATTTACTTGCTTGGTTATGGTCATTTGTTTAGGTTTGTTTAGATACTTTTGCTAAATATATGTATAATTTATTTTACTTATGTTATTGTTTTTACTTATTTATTATATTTTCTTTAATATTTGTGTTTAGTATGAGTTAATATTAGGGAATATTTATATAGATATATATATATTGGTTAATAGTCACTATTATTTATATTATTGTGTGATATGGTTAAGCTTACTTATGTTATATACGTTCACTTTACTTAATAGGTACTTTAAAATTTTATTTCATATTTATTACTTTTATTTATTATTTTTATAACGTTCAATATGTTAATGTATTTTTTAATAATTAACTATATAGGTTTTAGATGAACAAAGTATGATTTACTTTATACTCATCTCGATATAATTTGGTGTTAATTCAAGGATAGAATATACTTTATAGATGAAAAATAGACGAGATAGCTTTCCCGATGGAGGATTGCAAATCTCGGGATTTCTCACCAAGTTAAGTATTTCTATTATTTTAAGTAATATTCAATAAATAAATCATAATTGATTTATCATTCTATTTTTTATAATTTTTATTGTGTTAATGATCTCTATGTTAATATTAACAATACATGTTTTAGATAAATTAAGTATGATTTATTTTATACTCTTGTCGATATTATTTGGTAGTAATTCAAAGATAGAATATACTTTATAGATGAGAAATAGATGAGATAGCTTTCCCGATGGAGGATTGCAAATCTTGAGATTTCTTACCAAGTGAAGTATTTCTATTATTTTAACAAATATTCAATAAATAGATCATATTTTTACTTCTGATTCAAACTTTAAGTTCTATCATTTACGACGATATATAAGCGACTAAGTACCGATTTTGGGCGTTGTGAGGGGTGTTTACCCTTCCCCGTACGTAACCGACTCCCGAATCCGTTTAAATGAATCTTTGGTAACACAGACCGAATCTTGTCTTTTTTTAAAAAAAAAATGATTTTTCTTAAAATTGTTTTAAAAGACGTTTTTAGGTATTCGACCTACCTAACCCAAAGGTCGATGGCGACTCTTTTCAATTTTATTCAAATCAATTCAAAATCACCCATTTTCCAAAATAAATAAAAGTCATAATTGTTTTTTAAATAATAAAAAAAAAGTTTTATTAAAAAAAATGGTTATGACAATGAATTCATCCCAAACTAGAAACTCTCTCTCAAACAGGTTTCTTCGCAAATGGATGTGCCATATCCAACCAGCTTCTAGTTTTCTCCCAAATTCTGCGATTGGACCATTTTTCTTCAAAGCTAAGGCAAAAATACAGGGATAGCAGGATTTTATGGAAGCTTCTCCGATCTAAACAAGCTCCCAAAAAGATATATGTTTATCGTTGCCCACCTGTAATGATAAATTAGCTCGAACCAACTTACTGAACTCATCTTCTTTATGAAATGATTTCAAGACATCATTCCATATCCAAGAAAAGTGTCAATTTGAAGCTTTAGAAGGTATTAAATTACTAGTATCACTCGGGGCTTTACAGCTAATAAAACGGCGCCATAAACTATCCATATCATTCCCGTACCTCACTACCTATTTACTCAATAATGATCTGTTCAGGGTGACGAGGTTTGAAATGCCCAGATCACCAACCTGAATCGGCTGACACACTAAATCCCAGCGAAACCAGTGAATCTTGGATTTATTTGCATCTTCACCCCACAAGAAATTTGATATCAGCCTATTAAGTTTATTCGAAATAGAGACCTGCATCCGAAATATCGACAGATAGTACACCGGTAAACAAGTTAGGATGGATTTGATGAGCGTAATTCTTCCACCATATGAGAGTAGTTTAGATTTCCATCCTTCATACTATTCCACTTTGGCCTGCCTTAGACATAAAATCAATTGCTTCAATTGTAACCAAAGAGCAATCTAGAAACTGATAACCCAAGACATAAGTGAACTGATATTCCCCAATGATTTGTCCAATACAGAGCCGGAGTCCCTTTGTTAACACTTTCAACAAAATCTTATACATGCCCCAACTAAATTGATTGGTCGAATGTCTCCAAGAGACTTGGGATTGACCAATTTCGGAATCAACATAATGAATGAATGATTTATACCGATTTCCCAATCTCTGCCCTCATAGAAATCGAAGAAGAATTTCATAATGTCGTTTTTAACTGGGGCCAAAATTTATTGAAGAATTTAATATTAAAATTGTCTAGTCCCAGAGCCTGATCATTGCTAGAACTCGAGATAGCGTCCCACACCTCTTCAACTGAGCATTGTCTTTCTAGGATGGAAGCTTGGTCCACATCAATCCGCTTGAACTCTATATCAAAATCCAGTAGCTTTAGTGAGCATTTTTTGTTGTAGGCACTAAAAAAGTACTGGAAAACATCTTCCTTAATACTCGTAGGGTCCGTTAGAATTCTATCCTCATGTTTCAAAATGTTGATGGAGTTCATCCTTCTTCTAGCCAAAGTAGATGGGTGGAAAAAGTGGGTATTCTTGTCACCTTCGTTATACCATCTTATTTTTAACTTTTGAAGTCAAGCGCTCATGCCAACATGAGAGAAGAACACCCAGTAGATGAACACGGTAGAAGTTATGTGGCACACCAAACATTAATAGAGGAAAAATTGGCTCAAACCATAAACTTAATTTTTCCCTCTTCAGGTCCCAAATTTGGTTTAGTTCAAATACTGTGTTGAACATGACAATAAATGATCTATTCATTCCATCCCATCTTACTATCTTGCCATCACGGAGAATCGCCTTTTGAACTAAATTTGATTCAAGAGACTATTTGATTAGTCCAACCATACATCTCTTCATCCAGTCGTTATCCTTTGCATGAATATTAACGTCGGCAGCAATACAACCTGTTTTGTCTTCCTGTATAATAACCGAAGGATGATCAAGGATATCCACACTTCCAACACCAGAATTCATATTACTTAGCATGGCGTCTTTAAAGGATAGAGTATACGAAACCATTCCTACTACAATTTTTGTCACTTTTTAAATGAGTAATTGTGATTTTTTTTATTTGGTCACTTTTTAGATAATAATTGTGACAAATTTGAAGTTCATCACAAGTAATTCGTCACTAATAATATTTTATTGTGATCAAAGCAAGTTGTCATTATCAAACAGTCATTAATGATATAAATGGTCCAATTGGCGTCAATTTATTTTTTGAGAGAAAAATTATAATAGTGACAATATATCATGTAATCACTATTATTATTGATAATTATAACAAAAATATTTTGTCATTAATCTTAATTTTTTATTTGTGAAGACAATTGTTTTTGTCATTAATCTTAGTTGGTGATTTGTGGCGACAATTATTGTTGTCACTATTGAAGTGAATAGTTGTATACTACTTCTGTTTGGTCACTAATAAAATGCTTAAATAGGCATAAACTTTTTTTTAACAGGAAGCGATGTAATAGTTATAACATATTAAATGATCACTATTATTATTTATAATTGTGACAATAAATTTTTTCACTAATAAGTTTACCATTTTATAATGATATACTTGTGATAGTCTTAAATTAAGTCATAAGTATCACTACAAGAGTAAAAGTTTTTATTGGCAAATTAATAGTGACTTAGTAATTTTGTCACAGCTGGTAAACGTTTGGTAAAAAGAATTTTATGCGACATAATTAGTAAAAATAATTGTGATGTATTTTTATTTCTTCACTATTATAGTAATAACTATGATGATTATATTCTTCTCACAATTAAATTCTCATTATAAATATATAATTCTGACACAAATTTCACTGTCACAAAAATTTTAACAATATTATAAATTGACGTTAGTTATTTTCTTGGTGAGAAATGATATGACAGTGACGAAATATAAAGTGATCACTATTATTTAATATTTTTTGTGACAATAAAGTTGTTTGTCACTTAAAATTTTACTTTTTGTTCTGATAAAAATTGACATCAGTAATAATTAAAATTATTATTAAGGTAAACTAGGTTTTCAAAAGGTAATATTTTGTTGTTATTAGTCTCTATACTATGTGTAAATTGTGGTTTTAGTTATTATGCTCTAATTTAATCAATTTTAGTCCGTATACATTTTAAAATTTTAAATTTTAATAACAATCTAAATTTTACAACAACTATATGACTAATAAAATTATCTCAATATTTTAAATAAATAGTTTTATATTATCATAAAATTTTTTTTATTAACTAAATAAGTGACTGAAGATACTATAAGCTTTGATACTGTTATTTTAATCTTTAAATATGATTAGTTTTTTCTTTAAAAAAATTAATTCGTTTTTATATGTAATTTATGATCTTTATTGAGATATATGTGAATTTTGCAAACACGAGTTAATTATTAATATTTTATTTTTAATTTACGACTTTCACCACAAGGGTTAATATATTGTCAAATATTTTTTTTTATTTTTTAAATATAATTTAAGAAAAACTAGTATTATATTTTAAAACAAACCTAATTATCTTTTATATTTATCTTCCACGAATATATTTCATATGAGAAATCATAGAAAATTTTCTCATTATGCATTTTAGTTTCTAAATTTAATGATATAGTAAATATTATGTAATACATATAAAAGCTTGTTTAACATGATATGCTTAATGTATGTTATCCTTAACCAGAAACAGGCTTTTGATACTCCATCTGTTTCCTTCAATTTACAGTTAAGAGACAGCTTTTGTCTTTAAACTATTTTTTTTTCTCGCAGGTGTATGCAGTGCATCTCGGGGTCTACAATTTTAACGGCTATAGTTTTTTCACCGTGGCACGCGAGGAATCCAGGGTGCACCACCCCCAATAGTTTCGCATTTGGCGCTAAACACCGCCATGTGGATCCCCCAACGGTTGTTGTCTCCCTTCGGACATCTTTGAAACTGAGCTTTTGTCCCTCTGCTAGTTTCATTGATAGACCCCAAATGTTGTAGAAAAGAACAAAAAGTAACAAACTCAAAATGAAATACAAGAACAACAAGAATTTAACTCAACAACAAAAATTTCACCCTACTTCTATGGTTAAAGTTTTTTCATGAGACGGGAAAAGTTGAAAAAAGGGCTTCGGATCTGGTGTTGTTTATGCTGGTGAAGGTTGAGACGAAGGAATATCGGGGCTGACACGACAACCTTCGAGCATGAACACGATATCAGGCATGGTTGGGCGATCGAGAGGATCTGGAGCTGTGCAAAGTAACCCAACTTTGACTCCTAGGAGAAACTCTTCCCATTCTGATGATTCAGGGTCAAGCTCAAGTAACCCTGGTTCTAAAAGTTCAGTGATTTGGCCTCTTTGAAGCTGTTTTTTGACCCATTTCACAATGTCTTCGTCTTGTGTGAACATAACTGGTCTCTTTCCGGTGAATAGTTCAAGTAGGACGATGCCGAAGCTATAGACATCGGATTCTTTGGTGGTTTCCCCTGTTAGAACTGCTTCTGGGGATACATAGCCCAATGTGCCAACCAATGCTGAAGTGGAAGTTTCTGATAGGGTTGCGATCATGAGACGTTCCAAGCCGAAATCCGACAAATGTGCTTCGAAATCAGCATCAAATAGGACGTTTTGGGGCTTCACATCTCCATGAACAATGTTGGATGTGTGTAGAAAGGCTAAGCCACGGGCTATGCCTAGCGCGATTAGGTGGCGCATTGGCCAATTGAGGACATGACCATCTTGGTGGGATGCTTCTTGGAGGAGTGTTTCCAGGTTGCCGTTGGGCATGTAATCGTATACTAGGAGCCTCAAGTCTGGTGGTCCTGCGTAATAACCTCGAAGAACTGTTAAGTTCCGGTGCTTCACTTTGCCTACAAATTCGGCTTCTTTCCTGAATATATTTTCAGCAAGTGATCCATCTGGTAGACGACGGATAGAGAGCACCATTCCATCGTTGTAACAAGCCTTGAAAACTAAACCGAACCGTGTTCTGCTAAGGACATTCTCTTCAGCAAATTGCTTAGTTGCGTCGATTGTTTCTGCCACAGTGATCTTGTCATTGAACATAACAAGCTTTGGGCCTCCATTTTCTGAGCTGCTACGGCCCCCGCTCGCTCCCGAACTATTCCTCGGAGGGCTACGTTTCTTGTCCCCGGCAGTTTCTTTGAGTTTCTTGCGCCATCTGAATAGGCTAAAGACATAACAGCAACAACATAATGACAAGAAACAAGCAGCGCATGCTACCGCAACCAACAAAAGAATCAACTGTTTCCTCCTGTTCTTTTCGGCTACATTCTCACACTTTCGATGCAATGGCTTTCCACATAGCCCTCGATTATCCGCAAACGCTGATGCATTGTTGAATCTGGAGCCAAGAGTAACTGGAATCTCTCCTACTAGGTCATTTCTCGAGACATTTAAGTAGACCAATCCAGAAATAAGACCGAAACTAGAAGGAATCTCTCCACTCAAGTTATTCGAAGAAAGATCCAGCACAGTAAGATCGGATAGCCGGGACAGAGAATCCGGTATGCTTCCCGAGAGCTGATTACCATCTAGTAACAAAGCTGTCAATGATGAGTCTTTGGAGATGTCCACTGGAATTCCTCCTGTTAAGTTGTTACCAGCCAAATCTAGCACATTCAACCTTGAAAGACGGGAGAGATCGGCAGGAATTTGACCTGTCAAAGAATTTGATCCGAGCTCGAGAACTTCAAGCTCAGTGCAGTTTCCTAGCTCTGGTGGGATCACCCCAGTTATGTGATTATTAGACAATGAAAGGACAACCAGTGAAGGAAGAAATCCGAAAGTTTCTGGTAATTGACCAGATAATGAATTGGAACTAAGATTCACATATTGCAAGCTCATCAAGATACTGAAACCTTCAGGAACATCCCCAGATAACATATTTTCCTGCAATGCAATGACTTGCAGATTAGGTAAACCTGAAAGCTCAAATGGAAACTCACCAGAGAGTTTCTGCTTGCTTAAATCAAGAGTAGTTAACTTGAACAAATTGCCCAAACTTTCCGGTATCATCCCGGAAAACCCGTTAGCACTCAGATTCAGAACAGCAACCTGACTCAAGTTACCGATACTAACTGGAATCTCACCAGAAAACTTGTTTCCACTCAAGTCCAACGTACTCAAATTGCTCAACCTCATTATCTCCTCTGCTATGCTTCCACTCAAGTTGTTACGTCCCAAATTCAAGGTTTCAAGCTGAGTAAGATTCCCAAGACTCCGTGGAATAGAACCGGAAAATAGATTACCCCCAAGAGAGAGCACTTTCAAACCAATCATGCCAACTAAAAAACCAGGAATTTCACCCGAAAGTCGATTCCCTTCAAGATCAAGAACATGTAACGAACCACACTGCTTAATCTCAATCGGAACAACCCCAGTTAATGAATTGTTAGCCAGTTTCAGCTCTTCCAATCTAGGCAGATTCCCTATTTCAACTGGAATCTCACCTGACAAAAAATTCCCAGAAATATCCAACATTGTTAACGATGTTAGACGCGTTAACCAAAAAGGAAAACCCCCATCAATCTCATTCCCGGAAAGATCTAATTCCTGTAAAACACTATAACATTTGCCGGACTCAGGACCAGCAACATTCTTGAAAACATTAAACCCCAACCGAAGAATGCGAATGGAAGGCGGATAAACAGTAGCATTACAGAACAACGAAACCGGCACCGTTCCGGAGAGCTTGTTACGAGTAAGTGAAACGACTTGGAGCTTAGGAAGAGCTCCAATGGCTGATGGGATAACCCCACCAAGGGCATTGGCCTCGGCACTAAAATGAATCAGTGAAGTGCAGTTGGCTAATGCTGAAGGTAAAGTCCCTTCCAAAAGATTATAATCAAGCCAGAGATACTGAAGCTGTTGAAGCTCACCAATGCTAGTGGGAATCTCACCAGAGAACTGGTTATACGAAAGATTAAGGAATCGCAGCTGTGACAAATCAGCAATGCTTCTAGGAATCGATCCGAAAAACGAGTTCGAAGAAAGATCAAGATACAGGATACTCCGTGGTATATCTCCCGGTATTCGGCCGGATAAATGGTTTTGAGCTAAATTTAAAGTGACCAACTCAGTGAGATTACTTATCTCGGATGGTAGTATTCCGGAGAGTGAGTTGGACTGCAAGAACACAACTCTAAGAAGCTTGCATTGTGAAAGACTGGAAGGTATGCTTCCATTGATTGCGTTGGAGCGGAGGCTGAGCTTGGTGAGGAACTTGAGGTCAGAGAGACGATCAGTGAGTCTACCACCAAGTTGGAGTTCAGGTAGTAGTAGCTCGGTGACACGGTTGTTGGAACAAGCAACTCCACGCCAGTCGCATGGAGCTGCAGGTGTTGATGGATCCCATCCATTTAAAGCTCCAAGGGGGTCATTAAGATTGAGCTTGAAAGACGTTAATGCTTGGATCTCAGCTTGGTCCGTCTCGGCCGGTGATAAAAAATGTAAGCAAAGAAGCAGAGAAAGGAAAAAGATGAAACCTTTATTCATTTGGTTAACATTAACAACAGCGAAGTTTGATTCTTTGGCAACAGAAATGGAGTCTCAAAAACAAAGAGTGTCACAGTTTATGAGAAAACAGAGGAAGAAGCATTTGTTACAGTTGAAAAACTGTTGGTTTCTCCATGAAAACAACAGTGTTGAGTTTTTGATGATCTCTGTCTCTCTCTCTGTCTTTTGAAAGGGGGAGTAGTGGGGCACAGAAAAAGGGAGGGCTTGGCTGCTCCATTTAACCTCATATGATATGATGTGGGCAAAATCATTGATCCCGGGGTTTGTCTAAGTAAAGTTTAATTAATATACTCTTAAGAGATGATGTGATCAAAATTTAATAGGATAATTAATAAATTAGGTAAAGTGTTATCAAAAATGTTACAGGTAGAAATTATGAAGAAATATTAAAAAATTTAATAATCGGTATACTTTAGTTATTAGTAGGTATCGATACATTTATATAAGTATCCACAGTCATTTTATTGTGAAAAACTATTAATTTAGGGTTATATTTTAAGTGAGTTTTAAATATTAATTTAATAATTATAAGCGTCTAATGACTTATTTTTATGTTACGGTATATATTATTATTAAATTTAAAACAATAAACATAGATATTACATTTTTATTATTATCTTTAGTTAAAATTGTTAAATTTAAATTCTAAATAATATTTTATAAAAAATCAAAATAATTAAATAATTTTTTGTGTAAATGAAATTATTAAATTAATGTTGTAGGTGGAAAACATGAATAACTATTAAAATTTTTTGAAACATAAATTACATAGTTTCTGTATTCATACTTTAAAAGTATGAATATTGTTTCGACAGTAAACTATGTCCAACTATTGTCCCGAAAAAGTATTCATACATATATTGTATGTATCGATATTTATATTTTAAACTTAACCGATTAAAATAAAATAGGCTCTACATTTTATGTTAAACTACATACCGATTTGTTCGAAGATTACTAATAATGTAAACGGTAAAATAAAATAGGCACTATTTATTATGTTAAAATACATACCAGTTTGTTTAAATGTTAATAATAATGTAAACGGTAAAATAAAATAGACGCTACATATTATGTTAAATAGGTGCTACCTATTACGTTAAATAAGCGCTACATATTACGTTAAACTAACTAACGATTTGTTTAAAGGTTAATAATAATGTAAACAGTAAAATAAAATAGACGATACCTATTACGTTAAAATATCTACCGGTTTGTTTAAAGGTTACTAATAATATAAACAGTAAAATAAAATAAACGTTATTATTATGTTAAATAGGCGCTACCTATTACGTCAAATAAACGCTACCTATTACGGTAAACTAGCTACCGGTTTATTTAAAAGTTAATAATAATGTAAAACATAAAATATATACAACTTAACCATTTGAAATATTTTTTTAAAATTCGAAAATATTAATACTTACTCTAAAAGTATGTATTAATACTTACTCTAAAAGTATGTATATTGTTAGTAATGTAAACCGTAAAATATATATAATTTAACTGTTTGAAATATTTTTTAAAAATTCGAAAGTATGTATACTTACTCTAAAAGTATGGATACTCTAAAGGTTAATAATAATGTATCCATACTTACTCTAAAAGTATTGATAGTTGTTAAAATATCGATCATCAGATCATAGTAGCATCGATATTTGTTTTAAAAATAATTATCATCCAAAAATACGTAATATATTAAATCTCACCGATATTTATGTTCCAGATTGCAACCTAATTCTTTATTTAAAATAACATTATTGGAAACAACCTAATATGCTAATATTTATTTATAACAAAATAAGAAATTAACATATTTTATTGTCGTGAGATTTCGAAGCCCCATCAATTTAAACTTTGGTAACACTTTAGGCGCTATCTAATATGTTGATAATATTAATAACAAAATAACTAATTAACCTATTTTGTTATCGTTGGATTTCTAAGGCCCATCAACTTAAACTTTGATAATATTTTAGGCGTTATCTAATATGTTGATAATATTAATAACAAATTAAGTAATTAACCTATTTTGTTATCGTCGAATTTCTAAGGCCATCAATTTTAAAAAGAAACTACCTATTACATTAAATAAGCGCTACTTATGGTTGATAATGTTTCATGTAATTAACCTATTTTATTATCGTTGGATTTCTATGGCTCCATAAGCTTAAACCTTGGTAACATTTTAGGCGTTACCTAATATGTTGATAATATTGATAACAAATCAAGTAATTAACATATTTTGTTATTGTCGGATTTCTAAGGCCCCAACAGTTTTAAAAAGGCGCTACCTATTACATTACATAAGCATTACCTGTTATGTTATTACGGTTGAAAATGTTTCTAGTAATTAACCGGTTATGTTAAAGTTAGTATTTTTTGGCTCATTTTACATACGACGATAATATTCCTGGTTATTACCATTATTATTACCAATATAAATAATATTTTCAGTGAAAACATATATATTTTCGATAATAATTTTAACCGATCACACTATTTTTTAACTATATATTAATCTACCTCACAGCATAACCTCCCTTGAGCCCTGTGTGATCTTATCTTTGCCCTGTTGTAATCTTTCTTTCTTTCCCCCTTTTACTAGCTTTTTCTTAGGTGATTTTATGAGAATAAACGAATAATACTTTTTATTATCCAATGACTGGGATATTATGTTGCAAATATGTAAAAAAAAATCAGAATACAATAGGCTAAAAGCTGTTTTTTTTCCTTCTATATTTTGTTTTTAATTTATTATATTTTATCTAACTATTATAACTATAAAATGAATAATTCGATCAGCAATCTCAATTTTATAACAATACTTTGAACTTTGAAGTCCTTTGAACCTGAATTGCTTCATTTCCCTTCACTTTTGACAATTTGGTGTCACCTTTCCTCCAAAATTTTAGGTTCTGATGTCAATTTTTCAAACTTCAGACTTTTCTCTGTTCACTGTTTGGTCCTAAAGTCAAGATGTCAAAGATGGGATGAAAAGAAGTTTGCCAACACACATTCTTCTCAATAGGAGTATTGAAGCCAATTCTATGGGAAAAAGCCGAAAAAGAAGCAAGCTGTAAACCCTGCCCGCCAAGCAGAAGGCTAAGCACATCAAGCACTGCACTGTGTGAGTCCCCACTCGAGTAAATGATGCAAGTGGCTGCCCATGAATTGGGTTTTTGGTGCCAAATTTGAATTGATTTGTGTTTAGGAGGGAGTCTAATTTAAAAGGCCTAATTAATTAGACTTAGAAAACTTTAGATGTCGATGCCAAGATAGCATTATGATCTGCTTTTGCTAATCTTGACATGGTGCACTCTCATCACTCCTGATAATCTGGAATGGACCCCTCCAAGAAATTGTGTAGCAAAACAAAATTTAATACTACTAAATTCTCACTGCTATGATAGATTATGCCCAATTATATCCAACTACACTAAAAGTATCATTATACATTTTATTAATGGCTTAATTATAAAATAACTACCCAAACTATACCTCCTTTCCCAAATAAGTGCTCAAACTATTTTTTAATAATCGAAGTGTCTAACATTACAAATGTTATCATTTTAGGTGTCTGGGTCGTAACTTCTGTTAAATTCTACTATTAAAGAGTACATGTGACGTTATGGTAATTTTAAAATTTTTATTTAAAATTAAAAAAATAAAATTATATTTAAAAAACACAAAAAATCAAATTACTTTAAAAAAGCCCTAAAACTTTGAAAACCCTAATTTCAACCTATAAACCCACAATGACAGTCGCCATTTATCATCAACGAAACCTGACAATTAATAGCCCTACATGGTCCCCACACGCTCCTAATGTCCAATCGACGACAAGTATGGCGATGTATAACTAGGAAGATGACAAAGACTACGTCAGCAGTGGTGACTGTGGTCGGTAAGGACGACGACGGGTTAGAGATTTAGGATTTTTATGAATTTGAGTTTTTTTTTGTAATTTAAGAGAAATTAGGTTTTTTTTTATAAATGTAATATTTTTTTAAAAAATATAAAATTTTCAAAATTACCAGAAGGTGACACGTGTTGCTTAACGGAGAAACTTAACGACAGTTACAACCCAAGCAGTTAAAATGGTAGCGTTTATAACGTTAGACATCTAGAGTATTCAGAAAGAAGTTTGGGCACCTATTTAGAAAAAGCGGTATAGATTGGACATTTATTTTATAATTAAGCCTCTATTAATTTATGATTGATCTTCATATAATTTCGATATTATATGTTTAAGTATACTCTAAATCGTAATCCTTTTAAAGACTATTATAACAATATTAGTTTACTGAGCTCAACCATCGAAATCAAATCGAGACAGCCATATTCAATTTGTTGGTGTAATTTCAGGTGGCAGGTGCACCGGATGCAGCCGAATAAATGACTTGTTCTTTTACTTCCTACGGAATTATGATTTAAAGAGATTGGCCAGTGGAATCCAGGTAGCACCATTGAAGACTGTACTGATTAAAGCCTTAATCTAATAAATTTTGCAGTGGTGGATCAACGGCCGCACTTAATGAAGAATTGTATGTAAAGATTCCATCCCGTAATGTATACCCTTTTATTACGAAAAAGAAATGGCCTGGAATGGAATCTTCATGGCTGACAACTGACCCATGTGATCTGTATGTAAAGAGAAGAAAAAGAAAGCATAATCTATGATAAAACCTTGAGCAAATTTGAAATGATTTTACAAACTCTTGCAGTATACTAACAACACCAGACTCAGAAAATCCAAAATCGAAGTCTGTAAACAATAACATATATATATATATAACACGTCTACTATAAGAAAGACAATACAATGCGTTTCAAGCTATAGTTTCTCTTGTTTGATTGTTGTCCTGATGTGAAGTTGAGCCCAAACATTTCGTTAAATGTCTTCTCTGGGTCTACAAAGCCAACCAGCTTTGCAACAACGGCAGCGCTCTCAGCAATGTGACCCGTGTCTTTAGAGTCGGTCCACAAGCGATAAGCCAACCGCAACCTCCTGTGTTTTGTGTTCAGCCCGATGCCCCATTTAAGGAAGAGATTCTCTCGTTCTTGAGTGGAGAGTCTCTTGCGCATCTGCTGGCTCAGCATATGCCTTTCACGACGTACAGCCTTCTCACTGTTTACAACATATTGTAGAGATAATTTAGTTGCTTTCGATTAAGAAAGGGTATTTATCGC